AATTGCACTTTGGGCTAGGCAAGACTCTGGCCAGAGATGTCCAGGAGAGTCCCCCAGTACCATAGAGGTAAGCCATGGGGTGGCCCAAGACTGATTTCTAGCCATACTCCCAGCCCCAAATCCAGTTTCTTATTTGGGTCCATATACTTAGCACCATGGCTGGGGTGCTGTCAGTTGGCAGTCTGGCACAGCCAAATTGTGTTTTGGGCCAGGCAAGACTGGTTGGGGATGTCCAGGAGAGCCCATTTACTTAGTACAGTGGGCAGCCTGGCATGAACAAACAGCACTTTGTGGCAGGCAAGACTCTAGTCAGAGATGTCTGGGCGAGAATCCCCCAGTGGCACAGTCATGATGGGGTGGAGCTAAGAAGGATTTCAATCTCTAATCCCAGCCCAAAAGAAATTCCTTATTCAAGCCCATATACTTATTACAGTGTGCATGGTGGGCTGATAGGACAATGCACTGTCAGATTTCACCACTCCAGGATTTGGCCACAGTCACTTGACTGGTTTTACAGGTTCTGCTGAGGAATCTTAAGGTAATGGTCTGAGGTGGGGATGGGAAATGGTCCTCTCCTGCTCTACAGGAGGCACAATATACAACCATCACACAGAGAACATGATCATGCTTTACAGCCAAACCACTGCCCCCCCCAGCCCTGCCTGTGTCCCTCACTCTCAACCTGAAACCTCCTGCCCCACCAGCCCTGCCAGTGTCTCTCATTCCTAGCTAACCTGCAGTTCCCCAGCCCAGCTGGTGCCCCTCACTCCTGACCCACAGTCCCCTGCACACCCAGAAAGAGGCAGCATTATGACTGTCAGGCAGAGCAATGGCAACCAAAGGTGGCCAAAGGGGGACAAGAACATGCTGCGGGGGACAAAAATAGGTTTAGAAGGAACAGGAGTACCAGAGAAGAGGGGCAAGCTTGACAGGAGCAGGAACAAGTATTGAAGGAATCTGGTTGTAGGCTGTGGGGATATGACTGCAGGCGATGATGATCTGCCAATGCAGCAGTTAAAAGATTGACATGCAAGTAGACTAACTGATAAGCAGGGATCCTGGTTTTCTCTGATAAAAAAATTACAAATTCTCTGATAAAAAATCCAAAATCTGTGATAAACGTTAAAGGCCCCCCCACAAACCCGACCCCAGCCCTGCTAGTGCCCCTCATCCCCCCCACAGCCTCCCCAGTCCTGCTAGTGCCCCTTACTCCCCCCACAGCAGCCCCCCAGCCCCACACACGCAGGCACAGACATACCCCAGCAGGTAGGTGTGTGCAGGGGGATGGAAAAGGAAGGGGTTGGGGGTGCAGATTGAGAATGGGGGAGGAGTGCATCTCTGCACCTGCTCCCAGGGAGGGGAGGGCAGCAGTGCCCCTCTGTGGGCCACACGCTGCCTGGCTGGGGAGGGGGTGAAGCTGGCGGGGGGCTGAGGAAGCGAGGATGTGTTGTGGAAAGACATGGAGTGCCTGCGAGCCAGCAAGCACTCCCAGTGGGGCTTTCCGCAACGCTTTCCCCTCTCTCAGCCCAGGCACATGGGTGTGCAGGTGGGGAGAGGGGGAGGAACAGAGTGTGCCCCAGGGCACAGTGGTGAGGGGCACTGCCAGCCCCCCACCTCAGCTCACTCTGTGCCCACTCCCAGGAGCAGGGCCGGAGGGGCGAGGGCAGCAGTGCCCCTCTGCGGGCCACACACTGCTGCCCAGCTGGGGGACCTTGCACGTGGCAGCCACTGCTGCCACTGCACTGCCACCAGTGCACTTCACGCTGTTTGCGGCTGGCAGTGGGAAATCCGCACAGGATGCGGGGTGTGGTGGTGGCCACTGCATATGAGTCCCTGCTTCCTCCCAGCTGGGCAGGCATGTGCAGCTCACAGAGGGGCACCACTTCCCTTGCTCCCCTAGCCCTGCTGTGGGCAAGTGGCATGGGGCATGGTGGCAGAAGTGTAGTGGTGCTGGCACGCAGTGACCACCACCTTGCTGCTGCTGGCAGCTGTCTCCACACCATCGCCGGCAGCTGTCTCCACACCACACCTTTGCTTACGTGGTGGTGGCTGCCAGCACCACTGCCGCTGTGCCCTGTGCCACTTGCCCAGAGCAGGGGTGAGGGCAACAGTGCCCCCCTGCAGGCCTCACATGCCTGCTTGGCCAAGGATTGGAGGTTTGCATGTAGCGGCCACCAGCGCACCCCATGTCCCGTGAGGCTTTCCTGCCACCAGCCGCAGGTGAACAGTGTGAGGTGTGGTGGTGGCTGTCACATGTGAGCTCCCCCTTTCCCCCGACTGGGGAGTACACGTGTAGCCCACAGAGGGGCACTGCTGCCCTCGCACCCCCGGCCCTGCTCCTGGGAGCAGGCACAGAGTGAGCTGAGGTGGGGGGCCAGCAGTGCCCCTCACCCCTCTGCCACTGCACCCCATTCCCCCCCCTTCCCCGCCTGCCCACCTGCCTGCCCAGGCTGAGGGAGGGGAAGTGTTGGGGGAGAGCCCTATCAGGAGTGCCTACCTGCCTGGTGGCAGGCACTCCATGTCTTCCCCAAACACATCCTGGCTCCCTCAGCTCCCAGCCAGCTTCCCCTCCAGCCCTGCCTCGCAACCCCCAAGCCCCACTTACCTCTAGGAACAAAAAAGACTGATCCTCCTCCTCTGGCAGCCTCCAGTAAGTGATTGCACTTTTCCCCTCTTCTTCCTGCTCCAGGCAGGGCTGGGGATTTCCCACTCCTTTTACAAACAGCACTTGTAGGCTGGAACTCAGCCAGCCTGCAGAGCTCTTTGCAAAAGGGGGAAATCCCTGGGTTTCCCTGCTAAAAGGAAAAATACGTGTTTTCTCCAATTAAAATGGGAAATCCGTGGTTTTTGCCATTTTTCCGTGGGAAACAGACAACCCGGATCCCTGGTGATAAGAAAATTCCTCTCATTGAGCCTGGACTTTCTTTCTTCACCTCAACCCACACCATGCCGCTGCTGTGCGGGAGCTAGGTGTGTTAGCTCATGCTGGTCAGTGTGTGGTGATCACAGCGGGAGGGGGAGTTGGAGTAGGCTGATCACAGCCCCCCCCCCAACCCCACTTTGGGGGAAGCTGTCCTGGGCACGGGGATCCTTGGTACCCAAGGAATCTTAATCAACCTCAATAAGAACCCCAGGCCACCCGCACGCTGGTTCTCAGCTTTGGAAAAAGTCCTGCTTTTTGACACGAGGATACAAACAACAGGAGACCCAGGATTCTTTCTGTTTTACATAAAAATTCCTGTAGTAATGTTTCCATTTAGGCTTTAGCTTGGGTAGCCTGGTTTACGTGATACCCAGATGCCAACAAACAGGGAGGTGGGATGGGGGGGAGCAGCCAGACCCTTTGTGTTCCCTTGTGTAACCCTAAGTGTACCCCATACCCAGCACCTGGTGCAACAAGCGTGCAGAAAAAGTGGGGGGCAGAACTGCTTTGGGACCAGGCTTGAGCAGGGGGGCAGCCCCTTTGGGAGGCTTGTGGTATAGACCCCCAATGCCAATCCAGACTTGTGAGGGGGTGGCAGGCAGGTTCACTCTTGCAGACCTTTGAATTAAAAGATTTCCCGCCCCAACCAGCAGCGTCCCATACAACAAGCAACAAGCGCCCAGAAAAAAGTGGAAAGCTTTGCGAGGGAGGCAGGCACCACTGCTTATTGAACTCAACCCCCCCCTCCCAAACAAACAAACCCCGTGGCTCTCAAGCAAAGCTGCCAACAATTCCCTGCAAAAAAGCAACCCTGCACGACCCAAAGAAAATAAACCAACCAAAATATCAAATCTTGTCCTAAAATTCCACCTGGCATTAAAGTAGTACTGAAAGGGCAGGAGGGTAAAATTGTTCTGACATGCCTCCTAGCGCATTTTACTAGTTACAGCATAATAAGCCATTACATGGTAAATCACGTCCACATTACTGAATTAGTCGTCATAAACTAAGAAAGGAAAATTAAACCAGGAACATTTTTAGCGGGCAAATGCCGATTACATGGTCAAGTGCCCTAATAGTACATACTGCATTTCATGCAAAGGGTTGCACTAGACCAGGGCTTGCAACCTGTGGCCCGTGGGATCTGGCTTGTGGAGCTCTCAGTTTTCAGTGGCATTTCAGTAGCAGGGGGCTTTGGAACCACCAGCCCATCTGGGACCTGACCTGGGTTATTTTGGCCTGCAACTAAAAACATTCCCAACTACTGGACTAGATGACTCTTGAGGTCTTTTCCAACCCTGTGATTCTATGAAAACACCTTCAATTTGGGAAATGCATATTACAAATATAATGAAATATCTGCAGTAATACAGTATTGCATCTGTCCAAATGTTTGGCATAGTTTTCTGTAAAGGTTGAGGTGACATTGTAAAGTACTCAAGGACTTATGATAACTGACATCAAATACTTATAGCACTTTCTTTGCAGATATCATGCTAATTAAAAAAGCGTCTTATTCCATAAATCCATGCTCTCAAAAGAGTGTCTTTTGATGAGTAGGTGTTTGCAGATGTAGCTGTTAATACTGAGGTGAACCTTATCCTTGAGGTATTTGAAAATCAGTATGAAATGGCATCTTCTTGCTAAACAGAACATCATAGAATCCTTTGTATAAGATCTAAATTATACTTTCCTAATGAATAGCAACAGGTTACTATAAATGTAAAAACATGGGATAATTAATCACACATTAAGATTTTTATCTGAAAGAGTTTGGCACTTACAGTATTCTGACTAAAACTACAAGTAGCTTTTGAAGATCAGTTGAAATGAGGGATAATAAAACCTTTTATCATTTTGAATGTGCAAAAATAATTTTTTTTTTTGGAGGGGGGTCTTGAGTTTTAAGAAAAAAACTAGTTGAACCTGGCTTCGCTGCAGAAAAGTAATTTGATTTTTTATTTTTTATAACCTTTTGTCATAATCATCATCTTCACTTTATAGTTTATGCATCATTGCCTGTTCCAACTTCAAAAGCTTTCAGACCATTGTTTCCATCTGCTTTCTTCTCTTCTAGACCGTAATTGAAAGTTTTTACATGGGTGAGCTACCAACTCCTATGATCTGGCCTCCGGATCTGGCATCTGGAGTAAGATATTTAATTTATATAGATAGATATTGGTATTATTTTTGTAGCCTTTTGTCTATGAAGTCAGGTGTTCTGTTGTCTGGAAGCCCAGTGGGAAGAGTTCATAGAAACTATTAAAAATTCTAAAAATAACAAGTTTTTTTTAAACTAAAAAGTTAACTTTTAAAAGACTATGTTAGGTCCTTTTGGGGCTAGAAGCTTGTGTTTAGAAATAGAATTTCCCTTTCTACATGGGATAAATTAGGTTTTTTAGTACCATGAGACTGTAAGATAATGACTTTGAAAGCCATTGTTTTCAGTATACAGAAAAAGCTGTCACTTCCAGGAAGTAATGTTACCTGCCCTGAAATCGGAGGTGTTTTTTTGGATGGAAAATTTCATAATGGGAAGATTTGAACTGGTTCAGTATTTTTTCCTAAAAATATATTTTTTTAGGTGATGGTATTCGCAATTTTGGAATAATTCTTTGGTGAGAGAAGAATTAGTGGAAAGCAAGCAGGTGTTAGCACCAAAAGTGCACTCATTGCCTTCTCATCACAGGAGATTATAGGTTTAATTGTACCTCAGAAAATAATTGAAGATAACTTCATAAGTACTTGAGGTACTAAGGATATGTCTGTGTGGTGCAGTGCAGTGCAGCACAGTACAAGGCTAGCTCTGAATGAGCTTATGTGTCTACACAATGTAGTGCAGTGCTATGCAGAGGTTCTTGTGTGGGGTCCAGAACCAGTATAACCTCACTAGTACAGTACCCCTGAACATGATATTAATGTGGTTATATTCCTTCTGCCAGAGCCAGCTTGAGTATCTGTTAACTTGAGATATTGTAGTAATTGAGATCACATTTACCTAATCAGAGAGAAACTGGTGATGACCTTATACTAATGGTTATTCCCAACTGTGTAATACTTTGTAGCCAAGAAGAACAGATTGACCATATTAGGTAAAAAGTTTCCCTTTTAGAAAAGCTTAGAATAACCAATGAATAATAGCATTTAGTAGTAAATAGTATGTGGGTTTTATGGGTGTGAATACCTTCCATCTTAAATTGGATTGTATGACAGTGTACTGGGACTGGACAAGTGGGATGTATCTAGAATTTGGTTATTTGAAGTAAATTGCATTATTGTATTAATCTTTTAATACCTGGGGGATCCATTTGTCCAAAAATTTCAGGGCCCTTAGCTCCTTTCTTCCTTTCTCCAGGGTCCTTAGCTCTTTTCGCTGTGGGTTCACATTAAAACAACCAGAGGGAGGGCAGGCAGCCTTTTTTGACAGGTGTGCAACAAAGTAGCCCTGCACTGTCCTTGAGTGCTGCTTTAATTGCCTTCTGCTTCCCAATCTGCCTTTTACTCCCTGTCCTGTGCCTCCTTCCTGATCTATTGCTCTGCATTTTGCTTCCTGCCGTGCCATTGTGCTGCCTTCCCCTCTCCAGTCTGCTGCATGCCACACAGAGAGGCTGCCCAAGCCACTTGTGCTTTGTATGCCACAGGTTGGCCACCTCTGTCTTAAATATTTCTTTATTTCTTTATTAGATTTATAATTGTGCTCTATCCAGAAGGGTTAGAGCAGCTTATAATAAACAACCCACAGACAAGATATCCTAAAACCTGAGAACTCCAACTCCCCCTCTGTTTCCAGTCGCTGCCTCCTTTTCCAGACTTCCCAGACAAGCAAACCCTCTCACCAGTCCCAACCATACTTGGCGACCACTACTCACGCCCAGATTACAAAGAATGGCATGCTTTTTCCCTAGAATTCAAATCTACGATGAATGTTACCAGTTTCTTTTAATCAGTGTTTCTGTAGTTTTTACTTGGCCTAGCTTTAGAAAAGTTTCCTTGTTTATTTTTTCTTTGGTTGTTTGGCAGTCTCAAGTATATGAAAGGGATAACAAAACCTTTTAATAAAGAATCGCCTACGTCTCAAAGAAAAGCTTACTAATATCTACCTGATGTTTCAGGGCATCTCACCAGACCCTGTGAAATGGACTCAGTCATCTATCCCTTTAATTTTGCTTCCAGTAAATGTAGTTTCACTTTTCTTAAATTCCAAAAAGGGGCAAAAGCTAATCAGCAAGGAAGCTACCGAGATGAATGCACCTTTATACATTTTATTTCCTATATGAAAACTTTAACACACACATCTATACAAACAGCGTTATTAACTGGTAGTAGAGCACAATGGCAAGTGCCTTCTGAACACTGAGAATTGAGTCGTTTTAATTACTCACGTATGTTTGGGAGTGCATCCTTTTAGCTAGCTGATTATCTCTGAGCAGTTTCAGTAAGGTCTTTTCATGATATGACATAGTAATGGTGAGTTCCAGTTATTTTCACTTGTGACTTGCTTTGCCAGCACTCAGCTGAGAAATGGGTGTTCATTGTGATGAAAATGAATTATGCTTAATGGTTGCTGTATTCTCAGCAAAGCCTGACATGATTCTGGGTTCTAGGACCTGTACCAGAGGAACATAAGTAACCAGTGTACCAAAGAACCCATTCAGTGTGGAAGTATTCATGTGCTTTACTTTGGCTTCATGCCTGAGTGTCTGGGTATGGTCACCAACAGCCTTGTAGGAAAGGTTTTGGCTTGGGGCTGAGAAGCTACAAAGGGAATTGAGTCACAGATTTAGGGTATGATAAGCAAGCAATCAGACCAGAGGCAGATCAAGTAATGGAAATACATCTGAGGCGGTGAAACAAAATAATAACAGGCTAGTTTTCCATGTTGATTTAGATATTCTCATAAGAAAGTCTGTATGCACTAGTATGCAGTTATGCGTATTTCTATCTCATTTACTTCATTTTCCCCACATACAGGAAATCCATGCTTCTTTTTTGAAGTGGCTACACCAAAATGTAGATGCTGAAGGATTAATAAAATCCAGCAAGATGTCTCTTAAATTTATGCCATTTTACAAGCCTGAAATGGAGATAACACCATGTCGAATGCCAGTCATCACTGAGCTGGGGGACTTCTCATCTGAGCACTTCAGTGTGGAGACATATCGACATAATCTGCAAACAAAGAAGCTTGGAAAGATTGTTCTGTTTGCTGAAGTAACATCAACAACAATGAATCTTCTTGATGGGTAAGATAATGGTGTAGACCGCCTTAGGCAAGCATTTTGAGCAGTGATGCATATATAAAGGAATAAACTAATCTCACAGTGTTGAGAACTAAGTTGAAAACTTCTCTCTTTGCTACATTTACTCTCAGTATGCCCTCCTTCCCCACCTCTCATACATATAACATTTGTCATATAGACTGATGTAAGGAGAAATACTGACATTTGTTTTAAAATAGTAGTTGGTAGGTGGTAATACTATGGTTATTAGGAATTTATAGATATTTAGCTGTCAATTTAGATGGAAAATTGGTGCGACAGCTCTTTTCCTGGTAATAAGATTTACTTTTTTTTCTGTTTTAAATGTTAAATTTAATTTGAATATTTTAAAAGTTGCTTTAGATAAGCAGACCTAGGAGGATGGCACTTAATATGAAAAAAAATAAAAAGCCACTGCTTTCTTTGTAATTTTATGAAGGTTTTAAAATTCAGCCTAATGTCCTCGTATGAAGAATTATTCACCAACATTTTTTTTTTTTCAAATGTTGATTAGAGATGAAATATTTTCAGACAGCGTGTAAATAGCCTTTCTTAAATCTCTTTAGGGTGCTTTTGAGAAAAATAGTTCATTTAAGATATAAAACAGAATTATGGAGTTACCAGAATAATGACAGAATTTATAGTCACCCTATCTATGGTACCTTTTAAAGGGATTATGATTGCAACTAGCCATTTGACCCCGCTCCCCCTCGCTGCTGCTGACACCTCCATTGCTGCCGCTTCTGGGCGGGGGGGCCAAGGCAACCGGAACTGGCCTTCCGCCCCCCGTCCTCCCCCCACTCCATCCCCTGTGTCCCCACCATCATGGCGGAGCGCTGTTTCCTGTCTGAACATGTCTTCGCACTCTGGTTGGCTGTTTATTCACGCTCTGATTGTCTGACAAAGCATTATGGACAGACAGATTAAGGCTTTTATAATATAATATATTTGACACAGTAAACTAATCAGATGGATGGAGTGTTTTCTTATGGGATACTGTTGCACTGTTCTCCAGATATATTGTGCGTTCCTACTTGCAGTTGTAACGTTGGATAAAGAAAGCTCTTGAAAGAAGGGTCAATCATATATGGTAATTCTGGCCTGCATATGAATTGTACTGTTTCAAGATAAATTTAACCTGGTCTTTTGTCGATGAAGGTGAAAAAATAAAGGCTAACATCATCAAAATCACTTTGGCTGTAGTCATAGTTAGTGAGCAAGAACTGTTTCTCCTCAGTTATAGATTAGGTCCTATATAAATTGACCTTGAAATATACCTCCTTGTAAAGGGATAGTTAGATATGTTTTTTAAAAATAGTTTTATTTGATGAGAGTAAGGCTTAAACTGAAATAGTATAAATATATACTGATAGATATGAAATAGTATAAAACAACTAGTTTATATTGTTCATTAAATACTAGAATGTTAGTAGCTGAGGGAAAGGGGGGACAGAGAGGTAAATACATAGGTTGAATACATTTTACCTGTTGGAGGATCCTTTATATTTTAATCTGATTCATCAAGAGAATTTACAAAAGATATGTCGATTATACATGCTAGGAAAACTTGAAATCAAATGTTAAAACTGCATTTCTATCCAGTATAAATTATGTTAATTAGATTATTCCATTTGAAGATAGACAAAACTGATTCACTTCTTATGAATAAGTGGGCAATAAAATGCTATACAAGAAACATTTTTATTTCTGTTTCTGTTGTTCACTAACTAAAATGATATTAGATATAAAAACTGAATTCTCCCCTAACCTGCTTGGATTTAGGCCCTAGTCCTGCAGTTAGGTTTGTCTGCATGGATCTGTGCACCTGCCTGTATTCTTATTGTCTTTGGTGGTGACCCGTGGAGAGAAGGAGGTCATTTACTGGATCTTCAGAATGTGTTTCTCATCTTTGAGGGGTTGGCTTGATATCAAGTTAAACTCTGTATTTTAACTTGGTACAAATGTTTGACCTTTTAGGTTGATATCAGGCTCATCATTTTGTCTGAGGAAACTTGGGACTTGACGCTTCATTTGTCATGATCTAAACTTTTGCATAAACATCTATTTCAGATGATACTATCAGTAACAGGGTCTGCACCTGTAAATGTTAATTAGTATTGCTCAATTCAGTGGCTTTGATTTCTTTAGATATTACTAGTTAAGTCAGGTCCAGTCTGGTAAACATTTAAGATCTGCAAGTAAGAATCAAGGTGTTGCAAGAAGCAATATTAGTTTTTTTTCTGTAAATGTGTAGTTTTTCTTTTATTTTAAATTCAGGGCTGGATCCTGTAGACATTTAGGTACTTGAGATGCTTTATCCACTTGAGTAGCCTTAATGGAATAAACTACATAAATGCAGAAGTGTGTACAGGACAGTGTCTTCAAATATTTCTTCAGCATGATGCTATTTGAGCTGCTGGCTTTCAAATGAGATGTAAAACAGAAGTCCTAACCATTAAATCACTTCTGTTAGAAAGAGAGGTCCTGGCCAAATTCTAACATGGGTAATTCATTTTGCCTGCCAGAAGCCTATTGTTTTAATTAGCCAAAGTATTTGTTGTGAAGATTGTGGTTGGTATTATTTGGCTGCATTGTTATGATGGCTGATACATTCCTTATAGGTATGCTGTTTACAGTTTGATAGAGTGCCTTTAGGCTTGTGAAAGTCAGATGTTTGTAAACATTGATATGAAGATCCTTTTTTGGTAGCTTTAACTGTAGGGGAAAAATAAATTAAATCAAGTGTAGAATATTATTCTATTAATTTAGCACTGGTTCCAAATGAGCTGTAAGACAGTTGATAGAATATGTACTACATCAGTTTGTTTTAGCCTTCAGCCCTAAGTGAAAATCAACTCATGGAAGCAATTTTTATTAGATACATAGGCAAAAGAGAAGTCTCAGGAAAAGGATCTCTCGGCTTGCCCTAAAAATAAATAGCCGTGGTTCCACACAAAGCTAAGAACTCCACTAATGTACAATATTTCTTGCCAATATGATTACCAAGCAAACTTTGTAACTACAGATGCTGTGTCTGGGCTCTTAAAGAAATGTTATACAATGAAGGCTTTTGGTTCGTTTTGCCATTGATGTAATGAATAAATAATGTTACTTTCCTTTCTTTCAATAATTATGATTCAGTGTAATGATATCAGTAGCCTGATTTTTTTTTAACTGTACACAAAGCTTAGTAAGGTATCTACATCTAGAATATATGGGATTTTAAAACTATAAATACTGTTCTTACATTTACCTAATGTATACTGTCAGAAAAGATTATATATATATATACATCTCTTAATAAAAAATTAAATATGGTCTGAATTTATCATTATTATGCTATAGATTAGAAATATGCTACTAAATTTCAGATTATAAAATGCTTGTTAGGTTTCTTTATACCATTTTCACAATCTGAATGCAGAATCTTTGTCCTTCCTTCCTTCTCACTCCCCAAACCTTCAGATCCCCCCAAAATTAAGACATAGAAGGAGAAAGTGGGCTGGAACTAATTTAATGGCTGAGTGACCTCACAGTAGAGAAACAGCCGGAGCCTAATAGGGGTCTTTGTCTACATTTCCACCCTGGCTGGTAACGTGCCAGTCAAAAGTCAAGCAAGAGAAACAGGTGGAAACTATTAGACCTGTCATAAAGTTTGAAAAATTGATTCTGGAGACTAAGTGAATAGATTAAACTTGACAGTGTTATCCTAAAGATTCTAAGGGAAAATTCTGTAGTTTAATTTGGAATCCCTTGATTATTCATTAGCTCGCCAGATGGTTTATATTGATGTTTTATATATATATATATATATATATATATTAATATACACACTGTGTTATCATTGTCATACATTTTACATGTGCAAAGGTAAAAACGTAAAGTGTGCATTCATCTACAAGTAGGTCCAATTAAAAAGGATTAGTCCAATTGTAAAATAAAGTTTTTATGGTTTTCATATTAATCATCTCTCTTATTAAATTATTTGAGAAGAGTAGTTTTAAAATACCATTCTAAAGTTGTTATTATTTATTAAAATTTAAAAGCAACATCAAGAGTTGTTCTTCCTCCTTTCCTCTCTCCACACTCCTTTTTAAGGGAGCTATTTCTGTAAGTCACATCCCAGAGCATCTTTCTGTTTTGCCAGTCAAATAGACATATCACCAAGTCACCTGCACAGGTTAACCTTTTGAGAAGTACCCCTCACCCCCTTGCATGCTTGGCATTGTATGATTTAGGATAGGCCCATTAGTTTTAAGGATGCAGCTGGTGCAGTGATACAAGCATTGCATTGTAGAGACATACTTATTAGGCCCAAGGGACTTGAGGTTGATAAAGAAATACTTCTAGTATGCTTTTATTGGCTGAAATAGTTTGATATGTTATAATATCAGTTAGATACACTCTATGAGATTTTAATTTTATTCCTTACTCATATCAACTGTGCCACTGTAAAGTTGTATTTGGTAGAGTAGGTTTACATACAAAGCTAGCATGTTACGTTAAATATGTTTCATACATTTCATATGTTAAATATGAAATGCCTGAAGATTGGTATAAATATTGTAATACCATTCAATCTTCTTCACTAATAGGGAAGAGGAAGAATAGGCACAATACTCTTAGGGTGGCATAGTGAGCAGTGATGGGACATATGGGCTTCTTCACATAAGAGAAGAGTAACATTTAGAAGAGGGAAAAAGTGAGTGTAAATTATTTCTGTAAGTGGTTAATAGGGGTATTTAAATAAAATGGCAGTTCAAAATAAACAGTGTCCAAAGGTTTAAATGCTTTGAAAAAGAAAATCCTTTGCATTACTGAAATCTATTTTGAGTTTTTAATTAATACCTTTTGGGGTTCACATAGTTTGAAATTGCAGTCCACTCTGCAGTGAAAGTGAACTACATTTGTGCTTCTCGTTTTGGAAAGTGGTGATTGGGATTTGAGATTAAGTGTAAAACTTCTGCATGTGTATTCAAAGGTCA